CTAGAGATATTAGGAAAATTGGGAGATTTTCCAACAATTAAATTAAACTACAAAAATGTATTACAAAAAGTTATTATGAAGCAACAAATAGCTTATTCTTCCCACTACTGACTGATTTTATTATTGAATTATGAAGATTGATGGCTAGCACTGTAATAACGGCCATGTCTGACACATTCTTTCAACTACATTTTTTTTTGCTTATCATGAAATTGGGCCTCTACTGTTATTGTTTTAAAGTAACTTGCTTTCATGTGATCTTAGTTTGTTAAAAAAATTCTTATCAAACATGGAGAGTTCCGTATCTTCTTTCTTCAACAGTACAAAGCATTGTTAGTTTAGGACTATTAAAACTCTAAAACTGTACTTTATCTTTACTAATATACATATGTGTGTATATATATATATATATATATATATACATATATAGAGGTAAAAGTGATAATTGATTTTCAAATGTCAGGTTGGCAAAGTAAAATGGAATTAAATAAATTTGGTGAAAATTAGAATTTGCACTGTATACGTATGGGTTCAGATGCTTCTGTTATATATCTTCGGTTTTAAATGGGAAGACTTCATTTAATTGAACAAAGGCGAACGAAATACACTAGTTAAAAGGAAATCATGATGACTTCTATAATAGTTTCATTATCCTCGAAACTCTGTCCCTCCAAGCGAGTGAAGTTTGTTTTGGTTATTCACATTTTTCTTTTGAGATAATCTTATTCAATGTATTATTGAGCACTAAATGCAAATATCTCTCTGGCAGAAATTTAAATTTTGATTTACATTGGGATACTAATCTCTTTCACACTAGACTCGAATTGTCAGAAATGATTCTGAAGCACTAGTACTAGACCCAAAATTTCCTTAATTTAATTAGTTCTGCTGCAAGAGTAGTTTGTTTTTAATTAAAGAGAAATTCTACTTAAATATATGTATATATATATATATATTTATAATTATAAATGGAAATACTTAAAAAGAGAAAATAAAATGTAAAATAAAAAAGATAATAGAATAAAAAAGAAATGAAAATTATAATTTATGAAATAACAATGTATTAAATATAATAAAAATAATATACCTCCTTTGTCAGCACACCCCCATGGAGGAAAAATACGTTGTTTCAAAGCGAAGCAAAAATATCTAACTAAATGGTAGCTTTTTTAAGTTAATTGAATAGAACAGCAGGCAACACTAAATGCAGTTGTTGGTGGTCGGAATAAGGTTTTAAAGTTGTAGGAAGCTGTTAAAGTAAAATCTTTGCATGTCTTCCTGTCTGGTGAAACTCATCCATAATCTCTGGCCGTTTTCAATCATGTGTTTGAATATAAAACCTGAAATCTCACAATAAAAAAAAATAAAGTAAATAAAAGCATATCATAAAGTGGATTAAAGTTAATAGTTATGTGAAAGAGTTGAATTTTGTTTTATTAGCATGGACCTTCGGTAATCAATAAATGCATTTAGGACAAGGTAAAAATGAAAAATTGTGAAAATAATTTGACTTTTTATAGTGAATATATTTCACTTTCACTGACTCACTTGAGTCAGTTTACTACAGATAATTTGTTTGAAATGATTAAAACTTTATTGATTTCATTATATATGAAAAAGTGAACATTTAAACTTGGAGTAAATATTGATTGATAATATGAAATTAAATCCTATTCCAATATAGCCATTGTTCTATCAGATTGATATTAAACAAGCATTAATAAACTTGTGGCATTTAGGTTTTTGGGGTAAAATGAATAATAATGATGTTGTAGCAGCAGGGTAGGTTAGTGAAGAGGAGCCCAGAAAACTGAGGGTATGAATAATAGAGATGGGTTGGGCTAAAGCAATATGATTAGATTAAATTGAAGTCCAGGCTTTGTGAAAATGGACCACGTGCATTATTGTCCTTTATTGGAACTTTTAAACATCTCTGTTTGTGCTTTAGTTGTCCACTGCTTTGCCTCAGACAGCGTCACCTCTTTTCCTTTAAGGGTTTGTCTCTTCTTTACATATGCAAACTACGGTGCTCTCTCCATCTAGAAAGAATTGAGGCCTTTATTATTTCTCCTCTCTCACTTTTCTTATGCTGCAATGCTTGGACCACCATACAGTCACATGTAAGTTTTTCCTAACCTTTAATTTTATTATGCTTTTGCATTCAACTACACTGCAATACTTCATTCCTTTGTGTCTATGTGTACATTGCAAGTTTTTCGTAACCTTTTTATAGGCTAGTGCGTTGAATTACATTGCAATAGTTCATTCATTTGTGTATAATGATTGATGAATGACCTTGGTTAGTAGATATTTTCATTCTTTCCTCAGTGTCATGATCGTTTTCATTTCTTTTGAGAAA